GGGGACTGGCACCAGCGAGTGTGTAGAACTGGAACCCCAAGGGCCCCTCGCGTGCATCAGCCGCTGCCGCGCACTGCCTTCGTCATCATCCTCCACTAGCGGCCGAGCTGACGTCACAATCGCCAGGTGGGTGTGCTGGGCAGGTTCTTGGATTCTATGGGAGAAGACGTGTTGCACATGGATAGACGAGTTGGTGACGGAGGGGGATTTCGGTATGAAATTGTTGTACCTTGGCAAGGTACGGCGTGTAGGGAGTATGGCATGAAGGTCTTTCCCCGTATGTTCACTGCGTGGGTGCCACTTTGTGTCCGTTCGTGATTTAGTGATGTCGTGCATACGTTCGGAGCAAAGTTTCTTGCTGTGGGTGTTTCGTGGCGCGGTGTTTTTCTCCTGTTGTGCCGGCAAGCAGCAACAGCAACAGCGACAGCAAAAGCACAAAGGCAGCAAACTGCAAAGATAAGGTCAGCAAACACAGATAGAAGCTGCAAAGCCGGCCGGTGGTTATTGTTGCGGTGTTCAGTGGCTTGTATTTGTGCGCGATTGTATGTATGTATGTTTGTATGTATGTAGGTGTTCAAATGTGGGTGAGAATGTGCTCTCTCTCGCGCGTGTGTGTGTAGTTGTGTGTAAGAGTATGTGTGTGTGTGTGTGTGTGTGTGTGTGTGTGTGTGTGTGTGTGTGTGTGCGTGTGTGTGTGTGTGCGTGTGTGCGTGTGTGTGGGGATGCTACTGTTTTAATTGTGATGGAGAATTCGAAACTGCCCGCGATCCGCCTGTGTGCTTATTAGTATGTTTCTGCATTTTGTGCGCAACTGCCCATGTCGTTTTGCCGTGCATATTCAGTGCTCGTTGCGTCCCCTGCTAGGTGATTAACAACGTGCCTGTGTGTGTATTTCCCCGCCCACCTCCCGGCCGTTCCCGCCGCCGGTCTGAGCGAGCCTGGGCGAGGACTTACGTCAGCTCGCCGCCGGCCGCCTCACCGTCGGCCGCCTCGCCTTCGGCCGCCTCGCCGTCGGTCGCTTTGCCGTCGGCCGCCTCGCCGTCGGCCGCCTCGCCGTCAGCCGCCTCACCTTCGGCCGCCTCGCCGTCGGCCGCCTGGCCGTCGGCCGCCTCGCCGTCCGTCGCTTTGCCGTCGGCCGCCTCGCCGTCAGCCGCCTCGCCGTCAGCCGCCTCGCCGTCGGCCGCCTCGCCGTCGGCCGCCTCATCGTCGACCGCCTCGCCGTCGGCCGCCTGGCCGTCGGCCGCCTTGCCGTCGGCCGCTTTGCCGTCGGCTGCCTCGCCGTCGGCCGCTTTGCCGTCGGGCGCCTCGCCGTCGGCCATCTCGCCGTCGGCCGCCTCGCCGTCGGCCGCCTCGCCGTCGGCCTCCTCGCCGTCGGCCGCCTCGCCGTCGGCCGCCTCGCCGTCGGCCGCCTCGCCGTCGGCCGCCTCGCCGTCGGCCGCTTTGCCGTCGGGCGCCTCGCCGTCGGCCATCTCGCCGTCGGCCACCTCGCCGTCGGCCGCCTCGCCGTCGGCCGCTCGCCGTCGGCCGCCTCGCCGTCGGCCGCCTCGCCATCGGCCGCCTCGCCGTCGGTCGCTTTGCCGTAAGCTTTCGGCGTTTCCGCGTCACGGTTTGTCGTACCTCCGGTGAGTCACGCGCTAGTTAAACGCATCCCTTGTCTGTGCTGTGCATTTCCTTGCTGACGTTGCCCTATGTACTTCATTGTACAATTTTGCAGTGCGTCACGTCTTGTTTGTTAGTTGGTTGTAAAGCACTGTCTGTTGTGGGTTTTTGTTGTTGTGCCGCATGCGACGTGCTTGTGCAGTCTTATTTTGTTTGCATCATAAAGCAGATCATGGCCGGGCAGCAGATCAGCAGCTGATAGGCAAAACAGCAGATCAGCAAACATCTAGGAAAGACAGCAAACGAGACCAGCTTACCGGCTTTTAGCAGCACGTGTGCCGTGGTGTGGTGTATTGTGCTGCATGACATGTAACTATTTTGTAAGTGTCAATTTGTAAGATTCTATGCTGCATAATTCATATTGCATCCTGAATAAATTAATAATATTTTACTCATGATTATTTCCTTAAAGCATTAAAAATAAATAGTACATCAAGTAGATGTACTGTACAATTTTGTTGTTTATACGCAATATACATTTAAGTAAAGTTTTGTATAATGTATTATCGTTACGTGATGCTTCCGACGTCGGCGTGTCGTCCCCAGCGGGATCATTGTGTGCGTGTGTGTGTGCGTGTGTGTGCGTGTGTGTGTGTGTGCGTGTGTGTGTGTGTGTGGGTATGTGTGGGGATGCTACTGTTTTAATTGTGATGGAGAATTTGAAACTTCCCGCGATCCGCCTGTGTGCTTATTAGTATGTTTCTGCATTTTGTGCGCAGCTGCTCATGTTGTTTTGCCGTGCAAAGTCTGTGCTCGTTGCGTCCCCTGCTAGCTGAATAACAGCGTGTGTGTGTGTATTTCCCCGCCCACCTCCCGCCCGATCCCCCCGCCGGTCTGAGCGAGCCTGGGCGAGGACTTACGTCAGCGTCTCGCCGTCGGCCGCCTCGCCGTCGGTCGCCTCGCCGTCGGCCGCCTCATCGTCGGCCGCCTCGCCGTCGGCATCTCGCCGTCGGCCGCCTCGCCGTCGGCCGCCTCGCCATCCACGCCTCGCCGTCGGTCGCTTTGCCG